TTGGTGGTCCTGTAGTTTCCTAATATAAAGTGATCTGATCATATTCGCAGGTGGAACACCTTGCGCAAGTTCGCCATGTATTGATAACCGTGGGACGTGTACAAATGAAGATAATGGATTTAGTTGTAACTGCATTACGGGCTACACCGGCTTGATGTGCGAATCTGTTGGTGAGTACCCAAACTTATGGCATAAGTGCCTCTGCTGATCGCTAAGCGCCACTCTTGAATAAACACAATGTCCCGCTAAGTATTAAATAAAAATGAATAGCATGTCCCCAACGTTGCTCATTTTTGTTCTTCATGCTATTTGAAACTATTATAGTCAAATTCATATTAAATTACCCAATACACTCCATTTATCTTTGCATAAATTGTCATTGATTGATCGATTAAAGTCTTTTCGCTGAGAAATCTTCTGATATCTCCGCTTCGGCTGCTCTTTTGATTTCTTCGACGAGATTTCTCCAGTTATTTTTGTCTTTTGCAATTTCTTTTAGTTTTTCTAGGTCCCTCTTGTTTTCCGATTTGACTGGGTATGACGGAGTAGAAAATTAGCTTGTTTCAGGTCCTTGTGAAGAGTGGTGGGTAGTGTTTCTCTTGGCCTGCCTGTGTATTTCTTTTTGTTAGTGTCCGTAAATTAATAAGCAATTAGTAGAGCTCCGCATAGTACACTATAGGAAAATTATTATACGAAGGTTAGATTTAATGCTTTAAAAAATTTCCTGACTTATAATTGTCATTATTAACGAAAAGGAATTAGACTACTATTTTCTTCTGTAGTTTAGCTGACAACCTATTCTGTAACAAAAATACATCACTTCATCTTGTCTATCAACAGAAGACGTTTAGCTTATGAATCTTAACTAGGTAAAACTACCCTCTATCGAGGAATGATTTGCAAATGTAAAGTCAAGGACCTCACTGCTGTTCTTGTTCTTGTTACTAGAACTTTTAAAAGCGTCCAGCGTCGCCAGTTTTAAACGGACGTGCAGGAAATTTTGTAAACTAAACTAGACGTGATTTTTTTTTCTCAAACTTTTTTTAAGTTGGACATCAGGGTTCCACCTACATCTACATACAAAACAAGAAATGTACATCACTGCCATTACCACTCGTCTCATGGATGGCGCAGTCGGTTGAAAATGTGTTCTAAAAAACCAAAGGTCTTGAGATCCTTGGTATTAATCGCGTACCGGTATTGGTATTAATGTTTTTTTTTTATTTATTTATTTTTTTTTTATTTTAAGACATTTTAATTTTGTACCGTAAAATGAACATTCTAATTATTTAACAAAATTGTTTGTACGTACAAGTAAATATTCTAATTATTTAATTTTTATTTTATTAGCTCTTCAAAAAAGCCTAATACTGTATATTAAATTGCCCCTCTTTGTCGCTCTTGTTTAACTAAGCATCTTGCGTCGCTAGAAGTATTCTTTCATATCGCCGAACGTACCTTAATGTTTACTTCATATTATTAGATGTCAGATAAACCTATTTCCAAGATGTACCACGTTTAAACTTAACTGTACAATATTACGCCCCGAATCGCTTATCAGAGCCTGCCTAGTCTCACGCATTGTGGCATTTGCGGCATTTGGCGTGAGACTCACTCATTTATGTTCCCACCTCGCTTGACTTCATTCTTTCAGATAGTCGTTATTTTTATTGTCCATGGAAAAATGAATGTTTTTTTTTTAAATAGCAAATAGAAAATTGTTTCATGCGTCTCCAAAATTTGATGAAGGCGGGGTCTTGAAACTAGCAATTTATTTGGCATTATATGGTTACGGTAAAATCTATTACCAGATTACCATCATTCTGAATAGCTTCCATCATAAAATTTATAGTTCATAATCTTTTGTTTCTTTGAAGATTTTTGCGTTGATTCGCCGTGTAAAAACAGTGGTACGTGTTTATCATTACCAACCGGGTCAGCCTGTTCATGTATCAATGGATACAGTGGTAAAACATGCTCATCTGCTGAGAGTGAAAATCGTACGTATGCCCATAATGTTAATTCACTTCAATCACTGCATACACTGATAAATGTATGCAATGGACTACTGTATAATCAAAGTGTTACTGTTCGTTAATGTTGGCGCGAAAAAGTACGATGGGCTGACCCAGAGATATTCATAAAGGGGGTGGGGAAATGTGGAAATAACACTATCCAGGGAGTCAAATGCATGTAAATAACTTTTTTTAAACCACATTTTTCTGGGTTTTTCTGGGCTTTTCAAAAAAGAAGGATGATGAGCCGTCCTCTCCTAAATCCGCCCGGGGTACTTAAGGTGATGTATACAGTGGTAATGATGGAGTCGACATTGGTGATGTGTTAGCATTGGTTAAGTACGTACGATGGCGATGGTGTTGACTTTGGAAAGTACTTTTTTATGATATTGCATCGGTGATGTACTTATGATGTCGACAATGGCGATTTTATTACGGTGCTAACATTGGTGGTGTCATTGATGTTGTACTGTTGATGTTGCTGACATAGGCAATTTACTGATGATTTTGACATTATTGATGTACTGTTGATGGAGCTGACTTTGGTGATGTACTGAAGATTGATGACAACATCGTTGACTTACTGCGATACCGTCGCCAATTAACAGGAGCGGATCCAGAGATGTCTAAAAGGGGGAGGGGGCGAAAGTTGGGCCGATCGAGACAACACTGTCCTAGGGGAGCCCGGGGGCATGCCCCTGCGAAGTTTTTGTGTTGTGGATGTTCGAAAACAACATTAGAGACGTTCTAGGCTATCATTTATTTTCATTTCTTTTTTTTTTTCTTTTTTTTTATAGTTCC